CAGTCATACTACCAAAAGCGTTATACAGATTTAATATAATTCCTACTAGAATTCCAATGATGTTCTTCATAGAAATAGAAAAAGCAGTCATGAAATTCATTTGGAAAAATAAGAGACCCAGAATAGCCAAAGCAATCCTTAGAAAGAAAGTGAAGAAAGAGGCATTACGATACCAGATCTTACATTTCCTACAGAGCCATAGTAATAAAAACGGCATAATATTGGCACCAAGACAGACATGTAGACCAATGGTACAGAAGAGAAAACACAGACAAACCCATATATACAGTTATCTCATACAAGACAAAGGTGCCAAAAACATACATTGAAGAAGAGATAGCCTCTTCAACAAATGGTGCTGGAAAAACTGAAAATCCACATGTAGCAAAATGAAATTAAACCCCTATCTCTCACTCTGCACAAAACTTAACTGAAAGTAGATCAAGTATCTAGGCATTAGACCAGAGACTCTGTGCCTACTAGAAGAAAATGTAGGCCCAATATTCCATCTTGTCGGCTTAGGAACCGACAAGATTCCTAAAGTACAAGAAGTAAAATCAAGAATCAATAAATGGGATAGTATCAAACTAAAAAGTGTCTTCACAGCAAAGGAAACAATCAAGAATGTAGAGAGCCTACATAATGGGAGAAAATCTTTACCACATGCACATTAATCTCCAGGATATATAAAGAACTCAAAAAACTCAACACGAAAAAAACATATAGCTCAATCAATAAATGGGCTAAGGGACTGAAAAGACACTTTACAAAAGAAAACAAACTCGATAAAAAAATATATGAGAAAATGTTCAACAACTCTAGCAATTAGAGAAATGCAAATCAAGTTACACTGAGATTCTCAGTCAGAATGGCAATTATCAATTATACAAACAACAATAAATGTTGACAAGGCTATGGGGAAAATGGTACACTCATACATTGCTGGTGGACTACCAATTGGTGCAACCACTGTGGAAATCAGTATGGAGATTCCTTAGAAAACTTGGAATGGAACCACCATTTGACCCAGTTATTCCACTCCTTAGTTTATACCCAAAGGACTTAAAATCAGCATGTAACAGTGATGTAGCCACATCAATGTTTACAGCATCTCAATTCACAATTGCTAAATTATGCAATCCACCTAAGTGCCCTTCAACAGATGAATGGATAAAGAAATTGTGGCATATATACACAATGGAATATTACTTATCCTTAAAGAAGAATGAAATTATGGCATCTGCTGGTAAATGAATGGAGATGGAGAATATCGTGCTAAGTGAAATAAACCAATCCCAAAGTATCAAAGGTTGAATGTTTTCTCTGATATGTGGATGTTAATTCACAATAAGCAGGAAGTAGGGAAGAACAGAGGTACTTTGGATTTGGCAGAGGGGAGGGAAAAGAGGAGAGGGGTTATGGGAGTGGCATGATAGTAAAATGAATCAGACATCATTACCCTATGTGTGTAAATGATTATACAACTTTTTTTTTGTAACTCTACATCATGTACAACCAGAAGAATGAGAAGTTATACTCCATTTATGTACGATGTGTCAAAATGCATTCTACTGTCACGTATAACTAATTAGAACAAATAAAAAATCAGTACATAAGTATTTTTAAAAGGAATACAAGTAACAGTAAATGTTGGTGAGGATGTGGGGAAAAAGGTACACTCATACTTGTTTGTGCAAGTGTAAATTAGTGCAACCACTCTGGAAAGCAGCATGGAGATTCTTCAAAAAACTAGGAATGGAAATATCATATGACGCAGCTATCTCACTCCTAGATATATATCCAAATGATTTAAGACATACTACAGTGACATAGCCACACAAATGTTTATAGCAGCAGAATTTATAATAGCCAGATTACAGAACAAACCTAGGTACCATTCACCAGATAAATGGATAAAGTAAATGTGATGTGATATGGTGTGATTTGTGTGTTTGTCTGTATATACTCCACACACACAATGGAGTACTCAGCCATTAAGAACAATGACATAATGGCCTTTGCCAGTAAATGGATGGAACTGGAGACTATCTTGCTCGTCCCCAAAAGTCAAAGATCAATTTTTTCCTCTGATATGTGGAAATTAATTCAAAATAAGGAGACTAGGGGGAATAAAAAATAAAATAAAGAGCAGTGGAGTAGATGATATATACATATCCTTCTACAAATATGAAGGATGGAGGAGGATGGGATAAGGATGCTGTTAATCTCATAGACCTCTGTAGGCACTATCTTTTCCCCATCTTTCAGCCCCTCTTGATTTCTTTTATTCCTTTCGTGGGCTAGATCAATATTTAATCTTCTGACCTCTGTGGTACCTCTTTTATTTTACCAATTCTGGATCAGGTTTTTAAAGCACATTTACCTTTCTTATTCCTAGATAAACATGGCTGGGGAAAATTATACTGTTACACAAAGTCTTATCATTCCATGTTGAGAGGTACAGGGGCAGGAACACAGATTGTGGAAGAAGATTGCCTAAATTTAATCTAACAACTATGTTACTTTAGTTATTACTCTTAGATAATTATTTAACCATTATATGCTTTAGTTTCTTCATCTATAAAACGGGGATAATAACTGTACCTATCTCATGGAATTGTTGTCAGAATCCAATTATACAGTAAAGAGTATAAACATTGTTAAGACACAGAATTGCTCTGCAATTGTTAGGTATTATTATTATCATCATTAGTAAATATAATGCAAATCCACTATTTCTTACCTCATTTTGACAGGTATAGCTCATCTTTTATTTGTCTTTGAACATTTCCCTCTTCCATTATCTTTAACTACTATTCTAAACTACCATATTTTCATCAAGTCACCTGCTTAAACTCTAATCCTTATCACATCAGAATTGTCATCTTACTCTATTAATTTGAGCTGTCAGGTATGACGGCTCTCACTTTCTTCAGGCTCAGAGGATGGGAGCTAGTATAGGTAATAAGCAATAACTCTCACTCAGATCATCTGGCTCTCCTACTTGTGAGCCATTTACCTTGGGAAGATTCACAGATAGGGTCTTAACTAGTCTTGAGCAGTCTTCTTTTCTGAACTTGGGAAAAGGTATTGCTATCCATCCTGTCACATGATCTAGAAAATTTTTGACTTTTCTTTCTGCTTTATTTCACAAATTCTACAAATATGAATGTTCTGTCCATTTTATATAACAAATATTTCTATGCCTCCTGCTTTAGTTCATCCCTCCATCATTTTTTTTTTTGGCTTGGTCTAGTGCAACAGCCTTTTAATAGGTTATATTTCTTTAATCTTGTCTCCTCAAATATACTTTTAATCCAGATACTAGAATTATCTTCCTAAAATACAATTCTGATGTTGTTGCTGCCTTGTCTTTCTAATGACGTACCACAGCCTATAAAATAAAAAGTTCAAGATTCTTAACAGAGCACACAAGATTGTCATAATTTTCCTATTACTCTATTACTACTGTGCTTTGACTTTGAGTATCAAATAATCCATATTGCTTCATGTTTAAAAGTTCGTGTTCATACTATCCTCATCTGGAATTCCCTTATCATTATTCCCTCTTTTCATACAGCTAACTCCTTCTCTTCCTTAAAACTCACATTGTTACCCACTGCCACAAACACATAGGTAAGTCTTATTTTTTTCCCTTCCCTAGATAGGGGGAAGGGCTCACTGCTGTGTTTCTTATGTTTTCCTGTCAATATCTACATTATTGGGCCTAACATTGCAGTATAATGATTGTTTATATAACTGTCCTCTGAAATAGATTATAAACTCCCAAAGGAATAAGCAACCTTATCATCCTTATATCTCAAGCAGATACACAGTATAGAGTCAGAAGGCCCAGCATAATCATGGAATAAGAAATAGGTCCACAAACAAGGAGTCCATGGGAGAGAAGAAAAATTTTACCAGGAATGTGGTTGAACACATTTGCAGAAATTATACCATGTAGAACATCATTTATTGTGTTAAGAAATTGACATTTTATGATAAAAGTTATAAGAACTCTTAAAAATTTTCAAGAAGATAAATATTATAAGAGAGATAAACTGAATGAAGGAATGATATAATTGGAGGAGACATGGCTTAAGAGTGGATGAGAATACTGCCAATAGAGACTAAAAGGAAAGACAGCCTTAAGAGACAATGGGGCGACGTGCTTACTCAAAAAAGAATAGTTGGCTAACTGAAGAGGACAGGTTAGGAGTGATCTAGGATGGGTCTCAATTTGAGATTATTGGGCACTGAGATGGAAGTAAAAAGAAAAGTAGGAAAGTGATGGATTTAAATATTTTAAATTGAAATGTTTGTTAGATATTCAGATGGATATTTAAGGATACAAAAGGAAATAAATAACTAGTGCTAAGGAGAGAGGTGTGAATTAGAGCTCCCAAAATAATATTGGTAATTAAAGGCATTATGATAATATTATTGCTAAGCCAAGGAAATGGGAGGGCAACTTCCTGTCAAAACTGAGAAAGGCTAATGAGAAGGTAAAGGGGGAAACCCAGAGAGAGTGGCTTCATAGAAGCCAGGGAAGGAAGGAAGGAAGGAATGGAAATAGTTCAATTTATTCAGTACTAAAATTAGTAACAGAAATAAAGTAATTGGATTTTATAATTATAATAAATGTGGTTTTTAAAAAAATATACTAAATAGAGTCACCTCTAATTACTTGTTTCTGTAAAAGAGATAAAACACTTAGTTTGAAGGGCACCAAGTCAATACTGAATCAGAAAAGGGAAAGTTTTATTTATTTTTGTTGTCATTTCAATGAGCTTTTTGTTAGAGGACAACTTTATATGTATGAAATTAGGTTTATATCATGATTTCTGCTTTTAATGGGATTTTAGGTTTTATTTTCTGAATATTAAAGAAAATAGTAAAGAAGTATTTTTCATAATATATAGTGAATTTATTAACTTTACCTTAAAATCTTACAAAAAGTATTTGGTATAAATGAACTAGAAAGAACCACAAAAAATTACCTCAACACCCATTTCTCCAGGAGGTCCAGCATCACCTTGCAGTCCTCGAGGTCCCTATATTAAAACAAAATTTAAGATATTAAAATAAAAGTTCTCCCTTCAAAAATCAGATATGGAATTAATAACATATGATTGTATATAATTAAGTTATCAACAATTTGTTACCTTTCTTTATACACAAAATTATATCTTTAGTTGATGCATCTGTGTCATTTTTAGAATGATATTAAGCTATGCCTGGATTTAAAAGAAAAAAAAGAAAGGAGTACCATTCATTCATGTAATCCTAATTCATTGATTCATTCAATAAACATTGATCAAGTACTCAGTATCAAAAAGTGTAAAAGGCTTTTATAAGTTACCTTACTTAAAGGATATCTACTTAATATTCCTGGAAAATATGTGACAAACAAAATGGCATTTTTTAAAGAAACAAATATATGATCTTTTTTTTACAGTGTAGTTTTGCTTTTTCTAGAATGTCATGAAATTAGAATTAGATGATATGTAGCCTTTCAGATTGTTTTGCTGAATAATATTCCATTTTATGGGTGTTTGTTATCCACCATTGCTTTTTTTTTTTTTGGTACTAGGGATTGAACCCAGGGGTGCTTAACTACTGAGCCAAATCTCCAGACCCCTTTTTTAATCTTTTACTTTGAGACAGGTTCTTGCTAAGTTGCTGAGGGCCTTGCTCAGTTGCTATGGCTAGCTTTGAACTTGTGATCCTTCTGCCTTAGCCTCCCATGTTGCTGGGATTAGAGGTGTGCACTAACATGCTTGGCTCCATTTGCTTTTTTTTTTTTTTTTTGTCATTGTTAGGTTTATTATGGTAAAACATATAAAACATTATCATTTTAGTCATTCATAATCATACAGTTCAGTGATATTTAAATACATTCACCAAGTTGTGTTACCATCACCACTATGATCTCAGGTTTTTTATCATTCCCAATAGAAACTCCACTATCAATAATAACTTCCCTTCACCACTCCCTCCAGCCCAGGCAAACACCATTCTACCTGTCTTTATGAATGTAACAACTCTACGTCCCTCGTGTAGGTGCATTTATACAGTATCTATCCTTTGCAACTGGCTTAGTTCATTTAGCATAATGTCTTCAAGGTCCATCAAGGTTGTAGTATGTCAGAACTTCCTTCCTTTAATGGTCAAATAATATTCTATTTTATGTATATGTCACATTTTGCTCATCCATCATTCCTTCTACCTTTTAGCTACAGTCAATAATGCAGCTATGAACATGGGTATACAAGTATCTTCTTGAGTCCCTGCTTTCATTCTTTTGGGTATATACCCTGCAGTGGAATCGACAGGTCCTGTGGTAGTTTAGTTCTACATCTGACCTTTTGAGAAACTGCCAAACTGTTTTCCATCGCAGCGACACTACTTTACATTCCCACTGGCAAATGCACAAGGTTTCCAGTTTCTCCACATGCTTTCCAACACTCCACATGCTGTCCACTGTGGTTTTGACTTAGATTTCCCTAAGGACCACTGATGCTGAACACCTTTTCATGCGCTTATTGGTCAGCAGTTTAATTTTCTTTGAAGGAATGTCTATTCGAGTCCTCTGCCTATTTTTGGATTGGGTTTGTTGTTGTTGGGCTTTAGAACTTCTTTATATACTATGGACATGAATCCTTAAGAGATACATGATTGGCAAATATTCTCTCACTCTGTAGGTTGTTTTTTTTTTTTTTTTTTTGCTATCTTGATAGTATCTATTGACATAAAAGGTTCTTTGATAAAGTCCAACATATTTGTGTGTGTGTGTGTGTGTGTGTGTGGCTCTTGTTCTTATATTCGTGAAACTGTTGCCAAACCCAGTATCATGAAGATTTTCTCGAATGTTTTCTTTTAAGAGTTTTGTAGTTTTAGTTTTCAAGTTTAATTCATTTTGAGTTAATTTTTATACAGTTGTCCCTTCATATCCACAGGGCATAGGTTCCAAGATTCCCCAAGAATACCAAAATCCATTGTTAACTGAATCCATGGATATAGAACTCAGGAAAATAGAGGGATGCCTGTATATGGTATGAGGTACAGGTTCAATTTCATTATTTGGATGAGGATATCCAGTTTTCCTAGCACCATGTTATTTAGTAGTTTTCTAAAACTATTTGATGATCTTTGAAGAGGCCATCATGAGTCAAAAAAAAAAAAAAAAAGTGATTG